AACAGTGCACGATTACTATTGTTCATCGCCATTCAAAACAGTGAGTGTTAGTAGAGAAGCATTTTAAGCATTATTCGTGACCATTATCAGTCTTCAAACCAAAATATTTTTTTACTTTTTTTTATTATTATTATTTATCTCGTTTTATTAGTTTGATCAGGTTTGTTTAATTAGCTTGAAGATTGAGCATGGCTGTGCCTCTACTCGATATATTTTTGAACAATCAGATATCAATGACATGGCAGTAAATTAAATTTATGTTGGTTGGTTGGTTGGTTGGTTGGTTGGTTGGTTGGTTGGTTGGTTGGTTGGTTGGTTGGTTGGTTGGTTGGTTGGTTGGTTGGTTGGTTGGTTGGATGGATGGATGGATGGATGGATGGATGGATGGATGGATGGATGGATGGATGGATGGATGGATGGATGGATGGATGGATGGATGGATGGATGGATGGATGGATGGATGGATGGATGGATGGATGGATGGATGGATGGATGGATGGATGGATGGATGGATGGATGGATGGATGGATGGATGGATGGATGGATGGATGGATGGATGGATGGATATAAGCAGAATGATAGGACAATAGATAGAACGATAGACAGACAGACAGACAGACAGACAGACAGACAGACAGACAGACAGACAGATATAGATAGATAGATAGATAGATAGATAGATAGATAGATAGATAGATAGATAGATAGATAGATAGATAGATAGATAGATAGATAGATAGATAGATAGATAGAATGACATAAAACATACATAGATATATAGAACAAGATAGACAGTATGATAGAACGACAGACAGACAGAGAGAATGAGAACAATCAAAAGACAAACAGATCGATAGAATGATATAGAAAGATAGATCGATACAGTTAGATATTGACAGAACAATAGTTAGACAGACAGACAGACAGACAGACAGACAGACAGACAGACAGACAGATAGATAGATAGATAGATAGATAGATAGATAGATAGATAGATAGATAGATAGATAGATAGATAGATAGATAGATAGACATAAAACACATAGATATATAGAACAAGACAGAAAGTATGATAGAACGACAGACAGACAGACAGAGAGAATGAGAACAATCAATAGACAAACAGATCGATAGAATGATATAGAAAGATAGATCGATACAGTTAGATATTGACAAAACAATAGTTAGACAGACAGACAGACAGACAGACAGACAGACAGACAGACAGACAGACAGACAGACAGACAGACAGACAGATAGATAGATAGATAGATAGATAGATAGATAGATAGATAGATAGACATAAAACACATAGATATATAGAACAAGATAGACAGTATGATAGAACGACAGACAGACAGACAGAGAGAATGAGAACAATCAATAGACAAACAGATCGATAGAATGATATAGAAAGATAGATCGATACAGTTAGATATTGACAAAACAATAGTTAGACAGACAGACAGACAGACAGACAGACAGACAGACAGACAGACAGACAGACAGACAGATAGATAGATAGATAGATAGATAGATAGATAGATAGATAGATAGATAGATAGATAGATAGATAGATATAAAACACATAGATATATAGAACAAGATAGACAGTATGATAGAACGACAGACAGACAGACAGAGAGAATGAGAACAATCAAAAGACAAACAGATCGATAGAATGATATAAAGATAGATCGATACAGTTAGATATTGACAAAACAATAGTTAGACAGACAGACACAGACAGACAGACAGACAGACAGACAGACAGACTGACAGACAGACAGACAGACAGACAGACAGACAGACAGACAGACAGACAGACAGACAGACAGACAGACAGACAGACAGACAGACAGACAGATAGATAGATAGATAGATAGATAGATAGATAGATAGATAGATAGATAGATAGATAGATAGATAGATAGATAGATAGATAGATAGATAGATATGATTTGTATGGTTCATCAAATGCATAAAGGTATGTATTTTAATTAGTTTCTTTAGGATGGTTTAAATATGCGTCACTGTTACTTAGTGAGAAGAGGTGGAAGAGGTGTTTGTTGAAATGAAGGTCATACTATAGAAAAAACATGATTCACCTCATGAGTCACAAGATGAGTTCTCCGTTCCCCCACAAAACGTCAAGGCTGTGAACAAAGCATGGCAAGCAGGCTGTGTGACATGCATGAGAGAACGTGCACAACACGTCTAAAAAACATACCTGAAAAACCAACAGGAAATTGTCTGCTTTAGAAGGGTCTCTTTGTGGACCGCTACTACTTCTTTCCTCCTACTAAAGGTTTTGTTTGAGTCTTACAAAAGACGAACTCCATGAAAGAGGGCAGCTCAGAAAAGGACTAAGCATTGGAGAACTTATTTGAGAGATAATTCTTTTCTCTGGTGAAGACCTTGTGCTACATTTATCATTGCAAAACCCCCAATTTCGTCACTAATGTCTGTCAGTCAATCTCTCTCTATGATAACAGACTGCATTTGATCTAAATCTACCGGAAGTAAAAACAGCATGGTAATATTTACATTTCTTTCTGACAACTAAATCGAAAACCCAAAGTGTATGACATTTAAAAGCATTATGCTAGAAGAATGAAGCACAATGCAGCAGCAGACTACTGTGTTTGTTGTTTATACATTAAACATTTCCATATGTTCATTTATTGTATGTTAGTCTAAAACAAACAGTACCACTGTGCAGTAAGCAGTTCGCAATTATTCCAGTCCAAACATTGACTAAAAGCCTTTTGAATCCTTTTTTTAAAAGGGGGTGACTAAACATAGAGCAGATGTTCAGTTTGACCAGGGTTGAAAAACCAAAAGGCACACAAAAGAGTTGCAAGACCTCCACCAACTGGGCCAAAGGTATTTCCGACAGGCATAATTGAACTGCCACTCTTTGTTTAACAACAGTGCAAAGCTTTACCATGCTAATGACCTGTCTTTTAGTGTTCAGAGACATAACGGGTATGTTTCACTTAGTTCTTTCGGTCTGGACCAAATTTTTAAATGATACTTTCCATCCTGATTCTATTAACTTTTACACTGTTATTTTCTAAAATGGTAACAAAATATGCGAAATAATCCAAATCCAAAATAAATCTGTCATCATCAGGTTTGCACTCCTTGTCATGTGCCCTTAATTGTAATTATTTTTCCTTTTTTTTTTTTTTAGATTATATGTGTAAGTGTACTTATTGTCATTTATTTTAATTCAACTTTTTGTATTAATATTATGTTATGCACCTAGGGTCTGAGAGTTATGCAGTTTCAATTCTCTGTATGTCCTGTACATGTGGTTAATTTGACAATAAAGCTGACATTGACTGGATCAATTTCTCACACTTGACTTGTCCCAAAGCTATTTGACTTTCTTTCTTCTACTAAACACAGGAGAAGATACTCTGAAAATGTTGGAAAGTGGTAACCATTGACTTCCAAAGTATTTTAGTGCTTCCCACAGGTTTGAAATATACTTGCAGTGGTAGCAGGATTGAAACACACCTTTTATCCACAGCACATAAATGGGTAACTATATGCGACAAACAAAACATAATTAGATTTTTAACATTATTTATTATTCTTCATTTTAAAATGTCTCTTTACGGTAAAAAAAAAACTGTTGAAATTAATTTTAAAAATCAACTATTTCTCTTTTATGCTATTCAGGAGCCATGTGCACCCGCTGACAGGTCAAATCTAATTCACTCCATCTCTCATTCAAGTTCAGGTTGCTTTACTGGCATGACATTTTGTACATTGCCAAAGCATTTTAGATGTATAAAAATGTAATATCAATATAATATTGACCATCAAATTAATAAAATATACAGAAAATAAGAAATAAATGACAGAAAAAAAATAAAAACAGACAATATCTCTAAAAAATATAATAATAACAAGAATAAAATATGTAGATTATTTAAATTAGACAAATCAGTTAATTACCCATTTCTTATGGTGTACAAACTGTAGCCAATTTAAATACCTCTGAGTATCTAGTAGTTTTTCTAAGTTGTTTAGATTAAAGAATTAGTTATTTAATGTCTCTTGCTCTCCCAGTTGTACACATAAAATTAATGACAGCATAGAAACTGAAAGCAAAACCAAATGCTGGACATTTTAAACGCCAGCCGGATGCAAAAAAGGTGCAGCTCTCTGTGGGTGTGTTTACGATTCTCGAGCACATAGAACGAGCAGTTTGAAACGGGTAAAGGAGAGATTTTCCACTACTTAATCACTCGTGAATGGTTGTTTATATTGGGCAGATACAAAAAAAAAAGTGTAAGGATAGTAAGTGTAAAAAAAAAAGTGTAAAAAAATGTACCACTAAATATACTTGGGCGGCCGTTAGCATACCTGGGCAAAGGTAAGTAAAGTCTATGTGTGGGAAGCACTGTATTTGCTTTTCTTATTATGGATGTCAATTATTACAGGCTTTAAAATATGTTATTTCTATCTTCTGTGTTTAACAGAATAGAAAAAAAAACAATTAAATGATGACAGAATTTTCATTTTCAACTGTCACTTTAACAAAAAAAACATTTGTTGTTTACACATATATGCAATTGTATTTTTAGAAGTTGAGAACTTATACTAGCTTAAAGGAGTCAAAATAGCACTAGGAAATTACCTGTTGCAATAAAAATAATAAATCTGTTGCTATAGAAAATGAATTTCTGATGCCTGTACTTTACTGTAATACACACCAGAGTTTTTAAAATGGCCTGAATTAGGTTTTTTTTTCAGCTTTTCCCCACTTATTCTAATGAACCAAACAGTTCAGATGCAGGACTCGTCGTGAATGATGTAATGTTGCTAAAGGAGAACATTTACGAGTCGATTCCATCACCACGACACCAGACAAGCAGTGTGAGATTACACAGCAGAGTGAAAGAGCGCATGCAGGAAGTAACCTGAGGCCACTGGAACCAATGCAACCAGTTAGAAAAGAAAGGGGCTGATATTAGCAGAACAACTGAATTTTGGGGATCACCCATTTATTCAACTGAAAAATAAAAATTATGCTGCGAAAATTACAGTGCATGAGAAAAAAAATGTTTTCACTGTTTTGAGGATGTTTTCAAAATATCCCCCCAGTTTTGAGTCTGTAAATGTGTGGAATACAAAGATAAAAAAGCTGTAAAAATCCGAACAATGATTTGAAAAAGCATGTCACATAAATATCAACATATGTACATCTCGCACTTGAAGTGTTGTGGCACTGGTAAATCATGAAGGAGGGTCATCACCGTGAATGGCCTTATATTTAGCCATTTCTTCAGGAAAAACCTTTCCCAGCTCAGAAATGAGGAGGCTTTTAAATTTCTGGTGGAACAAAAAGAAAACCACAAAATATTGTAAAGAAAGTAAAATGAAGTAGTTTAGCTAGTATTAATTTAAAAAATCATTATTATTCATTTACAGCTGAAACATATAAAGCAATAGAATGGTCTGGCATTTTGAAGTATATAGTAGATAATGAAGTAGATAGTATTCGGTATATATTAATACGCAAGTACATTTTCCAAAGAAGTAGGTGTTGGAATAAGAAAAGACAGTTCATTTGCAAAAGAGTGATGAGTGTAATAACAACTCTTATAACAATGAATACCTCAGCAAAGAAATTAAAGATGCCCTTTTGTAACGAACAACTCCTTTGCTGGCACTCGAAAAATAGACAGGCATTGACAATGATACAAAAACTGTAGAACTCTGAAACTCTGGCGGTGCATTTACAAGACAATGTTCAAAATGCAGAGATGATGTAAAGAATCTTCTAGAAAAAGAATTTCTATTTTAAAATCGTCATAAAAATGTACTAGGGCTGCATTTAACTGGATTTAGCAATATTTTATTTTGCAATATAAAAGATATATATATATATATATATATATATATATATATATATATATATATATTTTTTTTTTTTTTTTTTTTTTTTTTTATATTTATATGCCACTTTATTAGGTACACCTTACTTGTACCGGGTTGCCTTCAGAACTGCCTTAATCCTTCATGGCATAGATTCAACAAATAACTGAAAATATCTGAATATTTGAGTACAGTGAACTCATTGTTATGTTCAAGAAACCAGTCTGAGATAATTTGTGCTTTATGACATGGTGTGTTATCTGCTGGAAGTAGCCATTAGAAGATGGGTACACTGTGGTCATAAAGGGATAGATAATAGGGCCAAAGTTAGCCAAGAAAACATACCCCACACCATAACACCACCAACACCAGCCTGAACCGTTGATACAAGGCAAGATGGATCCATGCTTTCATGCTGTTGACACCTAATTCTGATCCGAATGTCGCAGCAGAAATTGAGACTCATCAGACCAGGCAACGTTTTTCCAATCTTCTATTGTCCAATTTTGCTTATCCTGTGAGAATTGTAACCTTAGTTTCCTGTTCTTAGCTGACAGGAATGGCACCCGGTGTGGTCTTCAGCTGTTGTAGCCCATCAAGTTGTGATATGTTGTGTGCTCAGAGATGCTCTTCTGCATACCTCGGTTGTAACGAGTGGATTTTTTCTTTCTTTTTCAAACCATTCTCTGTAAACCCTAGAGATCACTGTACATCAAAGTCCTAATCTATCAGCAATTTCTGAAATACTCAAAACAGCCTGTCTGGCACCAATTATGCTGCGGTAAAAGTCGCTTAAATCTTCCCTATTCTAATGCACAGTTTGAAAAGCAGTGTGTCAGGACCATGGCTACATCCCTAAATGCATTGAGTTGCTGTCATGTGATTGGCTGATTAGAAATTTGCGTTAACAAGCAGTTAGACAGGTGTACCTAACAAAGTGGCCAATGAGTAATACGAGTAATAATACATATATATTGCGATATGAATGCAATTTCACAAGATGACTTAAATAACTATTTAGAAAGAATTTATAATTTCAGATTGACTGGGAAGAACCTGTGCATCTGCACAAAATAGAATAAACAATATAAAGAAAAAAAAACAAAACTGCATATTATTAATGCTGTATAGTCTTTGTTGTAAAAACAATTCAATAAAATTTGTCATTAATGATTTTTTCAAAGTTATAAAGAAAACTTTCTTTTGCCTGAATGCTTTTAAAATCCACATACAGTCACAGGCCTAAAAAAAACACTTGTGAGTCAACATTGCATATTCTATGATGTGACTATTGCAAATGATCACATTGTGATACCGATGCTGAAACTATATATTGTGCAGCCCTGAAATGCAACCTGAATGACAAAGCTGAACCAATACTCACAGTCAAGGTGTCAATCTTTCCTTTGACTTGTTCATTTTTAGCCAGTGCTCTTTCCAAGCACTCCTTGGTGTAGAGCTGTGGGTTACGACCCTGATCAATATACCTGCGGGCAAAAGGGAAAAACATCAATAATCTATAACAGCCATTTACATTTTTGCACAGATGTGACGTCTAATTTTTTTTAGCAATTTGGTATTTTAAAAGGTAGAGAATGTGGATGACTGTAAAAAATCTGACCACCATTTATATTTATTTTTAAGGTTTTTACAGTTGAGGGCATTTAAAGAACACTACCAGTCAAAAGTTTGGTTTTTCATGTTTTTCTGAGAAAATTATTTTTTTCATCAATTTATTAATTTATTTATTAAACGTAAAAATATATATATAGTTGAATTGTTAAATATTTATTAAAATTTGAAATAACTGTTTTCTCCTTGTATGCTATTTATTTATTTCTTATTTATTGCTAATAATAATAATTATTATTATTATTATTATTATTAATATTAGAGGGATTTCTGAAGGATCATGTAACTCTGAAGACTGGAGTAATGAAGCTGGAAATCCATCTTTAAAATCACTGGAATTAAATTAAATTATAAACTACTTTTGAACTGTTATTTTATAGTGCAATAACATTTCGCAATTTTACAATATGTACTGTATTTTTGGTTAAATAAATGCAGCCTTGGTGAGCAGGAGAAACTTATTATAAAACATTTAAAAAGTCTACTGGCCAGTAGTGTATAAACCATTTTGAGGGATGTGAACAAAAAACGATGGTCCCAATGTATTTCTTGTTTTACATTTTTAATTTCTATAGCATCCAAGAACCAAAAAAGAGCCACATATTGAAAAATAATGTTATGATAGCTGTTTTAGCATTAAATTGTGATTGAACTGCCTCTTGTTACGGTTAGGAAGTAGTTTGACAACAGGCAGGAAATGTTCATGGGCCAATGACATGTCCACATTGAACTGGACTATATTATATGCAAAACTCACTCGAACACTTCCAAAGGTACGTTGATATCATGAAGCTGCTGTCGACATTTCTCAATATCCTGAAGTCCTGTGATCATAAAGTTCCTGAAAAATAAATAACAAAATCATTTATTTTCCATCTAAATGAGGCAATACTACTGGTAAAGAGCCAGCAAATGCAACAGCTGAAACGTCGCCATTAGTTGCTAACGTTAGTAATTCTTTGTTAAAATCCAACAAAAGGGTTTGGGTTAGTATTAAAAAATAACATTGTGATTTTAACTCACAGTTTCTGGTTGAGTCCTGTTTGACTGCTGGGCTGGAAGTCGCTGACGATAATTCCGAGCTGTCGTATGTTTTCGACGAATTTTTCGAGGTGCTCCTCGAGGTTATCAAACTTCTCCGCCATGGCGAGGTTAATTTAACGTAAATTTAAGCGCACGGTCGATTAAATAAGAATATAACTGTATACTTATTGACAAAAGATAGTCATCCGCTCACTTAGCGTAGCTCCCATGACAGCAAACTGCTTTCCGGCTGCCTTCCATCCAATAGTGTGCGAGAATGGACTGTCACCCGGGTAACAGAGCTTTCGTTGTGCTGTAAAGCATTTCTAAATGCTGCAAAGACGCTGTTGTTAAACGTTCTAGAAAGCGTCGTAAAGAAACATGGTGGAGATAATTCAGTGGTCGAGACTGAATGTAAAACAAAACAACTTATAGGCAATAAAATGTTAAATGCTGATGACATGCTCTGCTTGTGCACTGTTGTGTGCAATGCAACGTTCAAGAGAAGGTGTTGTATTGACTTGTTTGCAGCCTGATGCATGTTTAACCCCTTACTGACAAACACAGGGCAAATACGCTTTATTTGTTTATTTATTTGTTTGCTCGTTTATTTATTTATTTAATCCCTTACTTACTGGAATTTGGCTGAGAGAAACTAAAAATACAAGTTACTGTGATATTAGTTTTTCTCAGTCTCCATTTCTCAGATCAGAACTGAAATTCTCAAATCTTCCTGTTCAATCTTCACATCACTGTCAGTTGTGCACATCAAAAATGCAGTTTCTCATTCCTTTGAACAAGTTGCAAATGCTTTTGTAAATCATGCAAAAGATCTAAATTTATTATTTTGGTCTCTGTCTGAATAGTCTCACCCCCACAACATTTAATCGTTTGTTCATGGCATAATTCTGTACATGCAAAGTTGTCTTAATATTTCGTCATAATGCATTTTTCTTTCTTTTTAAAACAAATCTGTCTACAATTGATATTTCTCCCAGGTGAATCTTGACTTTTTCTAATGAAGGTGCATCTCAAAGAAGATTTGTATGGTTACATTTCGACTTTTGTCAAGTTTTTTCTTTGTGCCATGCAGTGCTAGATAGATAGATAGATAGATAGATAGATAGATAGATAGATAGATAGATAGATAGATAGATAGATAGATAGATAGATAGATAGATAGATAGATAGATAGATAGATAGAGATTCATAAAAAAGTGCTTACATATACCATATTGAATTCAGATATCTTAAAAGCACATTTTTATCATATAAACTCAAATTAGGTCACTATTTTCAAGACTATTGCTTATACAATGGTTTCTTAATTAATGTTCATATTTACAAATAAACATTTAAAAAATGGCAAGCCTTGTTTCACAATACGTAAGGAGATTTAAATGTGCATAAAACCAGGTCAAAAAAATGTTGTAATACATAACTATTATAGTCATACTGATAATTGTGTTCTTATAATTATGTGTGTGTGTGTGTGTGTGTGTGTGTGTGTGTGTGTGTGTGTGTGTGTGTGTGTGTGTGTGTGTGTGTGTGTGTCTGTTTGTGTGTGTGTGTGTGTGTGTGTGTGTGTGTGTGTGTGTGTGTATGTGTGTGTGTGTGTGTTTGTGACATATCAGGACATAAATCTGTATAATGACATGGGTATGACACAGGTATTACAAAAAGGAGGTGAAATATGAGGACATTAGTGACGTCCTCATTTCTCAAAATGCTTATAAATCCTACAGAATGAGTTTAATCAGAGAGTAAAGCTGCACACAGTCTCCTGTGATGGTTGGGTTTAGGGGTGGGGTGGGGTGAGGGCAATATAATATACGGTTTGGACAGTATAAAATGAATGGAAACCTATGTAATGTCCCCACTTTTCGCAAAAACAAAAGTGTGTGTGTGAGTGTGTTATTATTATAATTAACAAATATGATACATACAAATATTAAGGAATGTAATAAATGCAAGAAGAGTCTAAAGGTATAAAAAATTTGAGCTTTAAAAAACATTATAGCAGGAAAAAAGGTGTGTTTGGGTGAAATGCTTAAAATACTTGTATTAAACACAGAAAACCTGACAAATTACTTTAAATAAAACATCTGAACAATGTCTGTAGTAACCATAAATGGAGTAAATGACTCCAGTCCACTGAATTATCAAAAAATTACACAATTCGCTTTGCACTGTGGGCACATCACTACCTCAAGTGTGCATTTTTGTTCTAATAATATTTAAATGCCCTGTCATCAATCATTCCTAACAAAACCGTCAAGTTCAGAATATGAAGAGTTCAGATGCAAAAACCCAGCTGGAAAAAAAAAACTGCCATCTGAAATTCCTGTAGAAAATTGGCATTTTTCTCAAACTCCTATGTTTATGTCGAGTTTTAAAGACCATGACAAGAATGCATTCTTTGCCATAAAATTTAAATTACTGAACTTACACACAGGAGCTCAAAAATTTCAGATGGCATTTAGAGGTTTTTGCTTCATATATCAACTACAGTGCTGGGACTCCATGGAGTGATTTCCAAAAATAATCAATTCTAATGTGTGAAGAAACTAGGGTCAATTCCAAAGGTCAGAATTGATTCCACAAAGGGGAAATAGATTCCTCTTTCAGTTTTATTTTAGGTTTTACCTATTTAATAATTTGACTCTTTCTGCTGATCAGAAGTCACAAGCTAATAATTAATAGATAGGCTTTCCGTGAACAAATTTGGATGATATGCTTCAATGAACTGGTTCAAATAACCATGTCAGCAGTCCACTTATACTATGCAAAATTTCTAACAGCTGGTAAGTCATGCTGAAAAATCTAAAACTGTAAACTATGTGTACTGCTGATTATTTTGTTGAATTCTATGTGTTTGTATGGGCACATTGATACACAAATGTTTTTTGTTGTGTACCTTATACAGGTTTTTGAGCTCCACTTTGAATAAAAGATAACAGATGCACTACATGAAGGGTTTGTAATCTTTTGATCAACTTTTTCTTTTTCCCACATCAAAATACTTATGAAAGTCTTAGAATATGTCAAGTGATTACAGAACTAACAATCGGACATTTTTGGCACTCGGACAGCCATTCTCCATTGTCTCCCTTAAGTGAGTTTTACAACTTTACAACTTCACACAATATTTCGTTTGTTTCCATGGCAACATAACAAGCTTCAAATAAATATTTTTTAATTTGAAATCTTGGCTTGTAATTATAGCAGTTACATTGTTATAAACCTGTTATAAATTCTGTACGGAAAGGTACTTCCAAGACCGGGGAAATAACAGGTTAATAATCGTTATTTTATTATTTATCTCCTCCACCAGTATCCATACCAGCTCCTCCTCCTATTACAGGATAGGCTGGTGAGAGTGCCTCACAGCCATTGCCAGTCTCTGATTGGACAGCTTGGAAGTCAATCACATAGCTGTAGTCACTCCAGCAAACAGTGATCAGGTCAAGGGCGGGACTTGTTGGAATACTGGTGTGAAGAAAAAAATAACTCGTGCAGGACCCTCGATTACTCATTCCGTCCAGGTACAGCGGAAGCCAACCGACCTGAGGTGCTCGGCTCCCGTTATTCTCGTGTGCGTGCGCCAGATTATCGGTTGACTTCGAGCGACGCTACCGTGCCTCCTGCATCAGCCGCGGCTGTGCTTCATAGGGAATTATAGCAGCAGGAATGCGCATTAAATGATCGCTCTTACGTTTTAGTGCACTCGCGCAGGGGAAATGATGCATTGAGGACCGGCTGCTTTGCGGGCGTTTATCTTCAGAGCTTCATTACATCCACCTCGAACGGCGAACCTATACAATGGCTACTCTTTTGCGCAAAATCGGACTCATTCGGCTGCACGACCGAGACACGGAGGACCCGAAGCATCACCACCAGGGCTCTTTGAAAGGGACTAAAGGCAACCAGAAAAACAACAACACGAAGCACTGCAACACCAGCAACGAGACCAACAACATCCTCAGCACGCCTGAAATCAAAGCCAGGCGCTTCGACGTGTCCGGCAAGGACAAACCAGTCGTCAAACAGGACAAACCGATCAAGGACACGAAAGAGAAGCAGCAAACGGCGGGCAGCAAGGCGACGAGCGGCTCCGTGATGCTCCCGCCGGCGGCGAACCGACAACACTGCACGCAGGTGCGGACGCGGAGGCTGATGAAGGAGCTCCAGGAGATTCGTCGGCTCGGCGACAGCTTCATCACGGTGGAGCTGGCGGACGATAACCTCTTTGACTGGAATGTCAAGCTGCACCAGGTGGACAAGGACTCTGCGCTGTGGCAGGACATGAAGGAGACCAACACCGAGTTCATATTGCTGAATGTCACCTTCCCCGACAATTTCCCCTTCTCTCCTCCGTTCATGCGCGTCCTCACGCCGCGGCTGGAGAACGGATACGTGCTGGACGGAGGCGCGATCTGCATGGAGTTATTAACGCCCCGCGGCTGGTCGAGCGCGTACACCGTCGAGGCCGTGATGAGGCAGTTTGCTGCCAGTCTGGTGAAAGGACAGGTGAGGATGGGTTATTGCTATAGCAGCATTGCTTTCCTCACATCTCATGTTTCTTGACGCCATCCTCCATTTTGGCATCGTCGTACAGGTGAATCGCATGAAGTCATTAAATACGGGTCCATATGAAAATGCTAGTTTCACATACACTGCTCGTGAATGTAATAACACCGTGAACATACTCACCTTCATTTAGTTCCAAACATGGTTTAGTGTGTGTATAAAAATCGATCAAATGAGATCAGTGCATCTTTTACCATGCAATGAAGTAAAAAATGGTGGCTGAAGGTGGTGTGTACGTGTGTGTTCCATTATTTTGGAACAACACGGGGTCGAATTGTCATTTATGGATGAATTGCCTTCAGCAGAGAACCTTGTTCATTTATAAAAAACAAAGGTTCCTAATTGCCATTTATGCTTCCATGAAGTACCACTTATCATGTAATGATAATTACAATTCTATAAAGTGGAAACATTTTCTTATGTTCTTTACAAATTGAAAAAAGGTTACTATGAAGAATTGATCACAGAAAGGTTCTTTAAGGGAACAAAAATGGTTCTTATATAACATCATTGTGTAAACGTTTTCATGGAACCTTTATTTTATGTTGGCTGTTTTAATGGGTGAACATCCTTGATGTGCCATTAGAGGCTCTTCTGATCAGCATATTGGCATCATCCTTTAACTTAGCAAAGCAAAGTCCTATTGAGTATATTGAAGAACTAATACACATGTGGTCTTATAAAATACCAAAGAAAAATCTTTTTGCATTGCAGTAGCAGGCAGTATAACCTATTTTGGCACCTTATTAAGAGAGTACAAGAAAAATTGTAATCAAAATTGGTTTCATGATGATTCATATAGGTTATTTCAAATAAATGTGCGGAATAAGGTTTCTTTATTATTATTAATCAGTTTGTAACCATACTGTCCCACAGAATCTCATTTTTGAGATCTGCAATGCAAGATGCTCAAGAGATGGTTCTGCAGTTGTTACAAGCCAAAATCTGCTGCTATATTAAACCACTTTTCTTAAGAGTGTATTGCAGTCTGGATCTTGACTAGTAATGTGATTAGATGGGCTCTGTAGATGGATCACATCGGTCATTAAGATAGTCCTGTTCTAAGGATGATTGCGAAGACCAGCAAGGGTCATGGGAATGGATGAGAATCCTTAATGAAGCTAGAGACTGGCCATTAACCCTCAGCTGTAAATCTGAGAGAAAAGACCTGTTCATCTACCCTTACCTCAACCTGTCAAGAGCTCTTAAATGCCAAATTCATGATGAGCCTGAGGCGACTAGATAACCATTTTTTCCCCCAAATGACCCAAAGCACTCTGGGGTAATTACCGTTTTAGCTGCCGCTGACACAACAGACCCCCAATTAATATGCAGCTATTGTATTATAAGAAGTAACGGCAGGCCACATTTTGCTGCAGAGCATTCATGGTTTATTGCCTTTGGTTATAATACTTTTAAAGCAAGTAATTCCTCTTTTATTCGTTTAATTGTTTATAAAAGGCTCCTTTTGATTCTGTGAGGACATGATGTGCTTTGACAGTCATTTAAATGGTACTTTTTATTTTTTGAAAATTGGCTTCAGTTTTCAAAGATTTTTCTCCAGACAGTCTTCAAACATTTGCTGATTTTTAAGGCTCTCTAAGTCAAAATCGTCACAAAATAACATCAATTAAAATTAAAAAACAATCAAACTGTATTAGACAATTACTAAGATGTCGTATGTTTGAAATGAAAGGAACTGTTATGTGCCATCAAGCCTCCTATTTAGAGTCTAGAACTGCCATGTGTCATTAGCCTCCTATTTAGAGTGTAATTTACCTGTATTTTTAGTGATTACCAACAATATTCCTGCCCTTGTTCAATTTACATACCATGTCCTTTTTGCCTTAATACTATAAGCTGCATCAAACAGGCGTACGCTTCATGTGATGCTATGATGCAAAGAGCAACACTGGCACATGTTGGTTACATAATCCCTACCGTCTGTGGTGTCCCAGAATGCACAGAGTCCGAGCGCGACCATTGACTGATCTCCATTCACAGGATTACCCATCAGGCATTACACACGGGTACAGCGCAGTGCTCGATACGCACCAAACCAAAATAGCGCAGGGAGACATGGGTGATGCCGCTAGCATGCTGCAGGGAAAACGCTGATGCGAATAACCTGGATTAACATTGACGCGGCTCCCTCCACCGGTGGCTCTCAAGCGTGAGAGAAACGATTTCCGAGAGAGACCGTAAACACAATAAAGCTTAATTAAGGCTCCATTGGTTCCTTTTAATCCAAAAATCACAGGCTATTCTGAGGGGATAAGGCAGGCTCTTCTCGATTGAGCACACACGGTTACTTCTGGGCCATTAGATCTCATCCTGACTGATAGAGCCTGAGGGAAGAGCCGGCTATTTCGGTCTCTCTGTCCCTGCTGTCTTACATCAGCACTGGCACTAGACTGACCTCAGTCCTGGGGCATCGGAAAGCACATCCTTTTTGCTCATTTAGTGGATGCTGGGTTCGTGAGATCTCCTACATAGCCTGTAGTGGCATATTTACACATTGGTGCTTTGCATGCTGAGCCCACAGAAGTTCAACCCAAGAGATTTTAATGCAGCTTGGACGTCCTGTTCTGTTGGAAAGAACATTCTGCCTATAACATTTCTCTCTGTTTAAAACAAAAACAAAACTCCAACATATTAAAGCAACATTTTTTTTTTTGGAAATAGGCTTACATTACAACCCCCCTTGAGTTAAACGGTTGAGTTTTAACATTTTTTAATCTATTCAGCCAATCTCTGGGTCTTTTAACTTAGCCGAGCATAATTTATTAGATCTAATGAAAACATTAGTTCAAAAATTCAGAATTTTTTTCTATACAAAGCTTCTTTTTTTTCAGCGAGATGCTAATGGTCTAATCTGATTCAATGATTTAAGCTAAGCTAAGCTAAAATGTTCCTGACAGACACTGAGATTGCAAAAATTGTAAAACTGTTTTACTGTCTAGGTGACTTGTAAAATTAGCCTATTTACAAGAAAGCGTAATGCTACTTTAAGTTATTAAAGGGACTATAATTCAAAGCCCCTTGTTTTTTGTAGTAGGGCTGCACAATATTGAAAAAAATCTAACACTGTAATATTTTTTATTCTGCAATATATATTGCAATATTAATACAATTTCACCAAATGAATTGAATAACTATTTGAGAAGAATTTAGAATTTTCAATTGATTAGAATGATTAGGAGAGTGCATAAAATTTTATAAACAGTCTACAAGTATAGATAAATTCAATAAAGAAAAAGAAACCAAAGGGATTTTAATGTAGCTTGGACATCCTGTTCTGTTGGAAAGAACATTCTGCCTATAACATCTCTTTCTGTTTAAAAAAAAAAAAAAACAACGTATCAAAGGAAGCTTCCACTTTTTTTGGAAACAGATTTTTTTAGCATCTCACTTGGTTTATAAAAAAAAGTTCAGATAATTTTTCTATATAAAGCTTTTTTTATTGAGCAAGTTGCTAATGGTCTAATCCGATTCAATGATTTATGCTAAGCTAAAATAATCCTGCCAGACTCTGATTTTAGCAAGAGGGATTCAAAAATTGTAAAACTCAACTGTTTAACTCTAGCTGACTTGTAAAATAAGCCTATTTACGAAAATTTGGAGTGCTTCTTTAAGTTATTAAAGGGGCTGTTATATTTAGAATTCAAAACCCCTTGTTATTTGTTGTAGGGCAGAACGATATTGGAAAAATCTAACATTGTGATTTTTTTTTAAATTCTGTGATATGTATTGCTACATTAATACAGTTTCACCAGATAAATTGAATAACTATTCGGGAAGAATTTAGACTTTTAGATTGATTGGGATGATTAGGGGAGTGCATCAAATATTACAAACAATCTACAAGCATAGATACAATTCAATAAAGAATAAGATATTAATTAAATAAACAGCGTTTTATTGTTTTCAAGTATACAGTAATTGAATAACCAAATGTATAATAATACTGCATTGTCTTGAGATAAAAAGGTTACAAATGGTACAATTTGTCATGCCTGAATGCTTTTAAACCCTTCACACAGTCACAGGCCTCAAAAAACACTTGCAAAATGATAACTTATATTCAAGACTCAACTTATAGTCGCGATGTGACTATTGTGAATGATCACATTGTGATATCATTGCTGAAACGATATAAGGTGCAGCCCTAATTTGTAGATATTAAAATTACACTGTTGGAAAAGTTTGATTATATTTGGTTTTTAATTAATTCCCTTGTTTTTACATATTGACACTACTGTACAGAACAGCTCTTACTGTATTTTCCTGAACAATATAATTCATTCAGGTAGTACAGAATTAGATATTACACAGTGTGAATGAATCTCACTCCTTTTTTCATATTCCTGACAAAAACTTCTGGAGATCTTTACATACAATAGACAATCTTTGAAGTCAAGGTCTCTTTTTTGTTGTTTTGTTACAAGTTGTTCACACATTGTCACTTAAAAAGTGATGATTGTTCTTACATATAGCATCATTCAGTTATGTTTTACTGTCCTATGCATGGATGTCTATGCCTGTCACTGGTCACTGTTGCATATATCTTTTTATTCATTTGTTTGGTCAATCCTGATTGTTGGCTGGCATTTCGAGCATGGCAAACGAAAATAAAAAGTTTATCTTGTCCTTAACACACTGGCTGAGTGCAGAACAGGCTTTAGGGATTTATGAATACCTTTTATCTTTGCCATAAAGTGCCTTGAATGACCCACTATAATTTGTTTAATCTACAAAGAATAGAAATACCAAATTTAAGTCAACACCTACGTTCAAATAGACCACGTTTCTTTTTTAAAAGCATTTCACTAGTTTTGTTGTACAAAATTCATGCACAGGTTTTTTCGAAATAAAATGGCTTTTTTGTAATCCTTAAAAAATTCAATGAGGTCCAATCCTCTTAATTAAAAAAGTAATAATTAAAAAAAAAATCTAAATGCTTTGTTGTGGTATAAATATTAACTTTTCATGATTCAATCAAGTGTGGATTTATTTTGTAAAAATATCAATGTAAAAAAAAGCTGTTAAAGTACAGTAAAGTTTTCAATATGGTTCATAAACAAAATGGAAAACTTTTGCATTTGACCATTAATTTACAAAACAACATTCTTTTTAGAAACTACACTGTTATTGTCACACATTTTGTGTGTGTACACATTTTTGTGACATTTCAGGGCACAAATGTGTATAATGACATGGGCATGACAGGTATTACAAGAAGGGAAGGACATTGATGATAAAGCCCACAGAATTAGTTTTATATTTTTGGGGTGAGAGTTGGCTTTAGGGACAGGGATAGGGTAGGGCAATGGAAAATACTGTTTGTACAGTATACTTACATATGTTTTCAATTGTTATGTCCCCACAATTCACAAACACAAACTTGTGTGTGAAACACTTTTTCCAGTTGGAAGCATATATCTTATAACCTAAAATTGGTTTCACTGGTTTTTACACATTTTCTTTTATTTAATTTCTGTTGGGTTCACAATCAGGCAGACATCTTGAGACATTAGCAATTAGCCATTTTTGCCTCTTTTCATACTTTGAAACAATCACTTCAGGGGAAGAACTCATTTTTTACTGCGGGATGCCGCAATCCTGCATGCATCATTGCATCATATCTATTCCCATTATCCTTTACCAGCGATCAAAATGGCTGAACCTGGTGTTAAAATGCTCTTGAAGCTTGTTTAAATAATTCAGCCTGAGGTTTTATCAAGCACAGCCTCTTGATTTACTGTGTCTTCAAAGCTCAGCGCAGTCGGCTTTGAAATTGAAAATTGGAAAACCTCTGAAAATGGAGGACCAGAACCATTTAATCATTTCCATCCATCATTCACACATCTTCACCTGCATGTCAGTTACATAATATATGACAACACTCAAGAAAAAAGGTAAATTAATTTAGTGTCACAATACATCTACACACTTTCTCTCAACTTTGACTTCATAAACAAAGGTTGATTTTGATGGGTTGAATCAAGCTTCTTTGATTCTTTTTAGCAAGCCTCTGATGACTTTTTAAGAAATGATTCACTTAAAAACAGTTTTTAAACATTCAATTAGATGAACACCACTTTTTTGGTAAAAGACTCATTTTTAATCTACCCAGCCAATCTCCAGATCTGGCAGGAGAAAATTTAGCTTAGCATGAATCATTGCATTGGATTAGACCATTAGCATTTCACTTAAAAAAAAATATTATTAAAAAAAGAGTATTGAAATAGTAATGAAGGGATTTTGCTGTCATACCATGGCTGCAGCAGACATAAAGATATTACGCAGTGCAGTTATTTTCAGATGCTTCATAAATATTGCAATTTAATTTTATTATTGCTTTTAATTTTTCATTAGTCTTTGTACAACGTAACTAATGAAGAGTCAAGTTTTAAATAGAAACATTATCAAAACTTCTTTATTTGGCGCGGGATGCTAATGATCTAATGCAATTCAATCATCTGCTAAGCGAAGTTTAAAGTGCTACTGACAGACTCAAAAAAATGGCTTAATAAATTTAAAGGTGCTAAAATTCAACAGTTTAAATTAGGCCTGGGTGATTAATCAAAATCGACATTCAGCACCTATATTCTGTCTAATTTTTCCAGGTAAGTTTTTTCAATTACTTTCCCTACCGTGTGTGGAGTCACATGACCACCGCTCTGTTTATACTTCAGCGTTGAGCACAGTCGCAAACACCTCATCGTGACCGACGCCGACGCTGACCTCTTAACTACATTTCATGATGACACATAGCCCAAGCTCTGTGATTAGTAGCATTGACGAGTGATGGTGGCTCAGAGAAGGCAAAAAAATAAAATTAATAAAAAAGAATTGTTCATTAATCATAATCGAGTTAAAATGTTCAGTTTATCGAGATTTTAATTTTGGGCCAAGTTGTCCAGCCCTACTTTAAATCTAGGGGAGTTGTAAAATTTGCACATTTTCAAAACACTCTTTTATTACACTCAGAATTTAACCTACGAACATTTTTTTATTATAGTTGTTTCATAGAACTGGTCTGGATATTATTTTAACATAATGACTTTTTAAGTACTTTTCACCATTAAATGGTGAAGATGAAAGTATATTTGATAATTAAATGTTGTGTCACACAGGATATGTCACAATCCTATACGAGATGAAATTTCCTTTTTACACTGCACACTTTCTTAAGTTTTTGTCAAGAAGATATTGACATTTTAACGGTTGCGTGTTTAGGATAGAGCTTTTAGCCTCTCTATAGAAGGTCTGAGTCAAGAGTCGTTCAGGTTGAACAAATTCTAATGTGCTCAAGGCTTTAAAAATGTTTGGAGTGCTTCTTTAAAGCCGACATGGAATGGAAGTTAAGAACTATCCATGGATCTAATTCAGTAACTAATTTTATTATCTAACATTAACAAAGAGGTGATACGGTGGCTCAGTGGTTAGCACTGTCGGCTCACAACATGAAGGTCCCAGCTGGATCAGTTTGCATTTCTGTGTGGAGTTTGCATGTTTTCCCAGTGTTCGCATGACTTTCCTTCGGATACTCCAGTTTCCCCCAGTCCAAAGACGTTTGCTATAAGTGAATTTAATAAACTAAATTAAGCGTAGTGTATGAGTTTGTGCATATGAGTGTATATGGGTGTTTCCCAGTCCTGGGTTGCAGTTGGAAGTGCATCCGCTGTGTGAAATATATGCTGGATAAGTTTGCGGTTTATTCCGCTGTGGTGACCCCTGATGAATAAAGAGACTAAGCCAGAGGAAAATTAATGAATGAACATTAACAAAGATGAATAAATTCTGTAATATATTGTTTGTTCATGTTAGTAAATACATTAACTAGTACAATCTTAATGTAAAATAATTAGCAATTTGTTGTATGCTAATAAGTAGGGCCACTTAGAATCTGTATGCACAGAAATCCGCAGATTTTTAGCACATCGAGTCTATTTATTTACTTGTGTTTAAATTTATATTTAGTTTTTTAATTAAGGTTAGTAAATTTATTGACTTATATAAAAGCCCTTTGATTTATTTATAAGACAGTTTGTAAAGTAATCTTTTCTGTTTTCTTTAGATGTATTATGTGATAGACTTGCTTTGTTAACCAAATAAGTGGATCTAGTTGGATTTGCATCGTTAACATTAAATAAAAAGTTTTTATTTTTTTTATTTAATATATTAAGTTTTTAGTTACTCCCAAAATAATTCTGCATAAATCTGCATACTTTAAAAAATGTCTGCAGATTCTGTCTGGCCCTAATGATAAGTTTTAAGCCAAATTTACAACAAAGATAATAACCGTAACGATAAACCTAATAGTTCAAAGAATTGTTCGAAAGATTTAATAGAGTGCAATAAATGTTTACTGATGGTCAAGATGTACTCGAATGCACCTAGTTACTAGTTGTGTTACTAGTTTCAGCAGTTGTTGTCTCAGAATAACATACCTTGGAATGTTGTGACTGACCAATCAGAATCAAGTATTCCGGACAGCTGTGTAATGAATAAAGTTATAACTCTTGGTGTCAACAGGTCTATACATAATATGCTTTAATGTCTCTTCCAACATTTTTTAATTCCCATTATTCTATTATGAATTCATTTTGGTATTCACTTAACTAGTAGAAAGTATTAAGTCTTCCAAACATTGTGTTTTCTCTTTAGGGTCGCATCTGCAGGAAAGCAGGCAAGTCTAAGAAAGCCTTTAGTCGCAAGGAAGCTGAAGCAACCTTCAAGAGTCTTGTCAAGACCCATGAGAAGTATGGCTGGGTCTCTCCTCCCGTGTCCGACGGCTGATGTCAGCATCTTCGACGGCGATCCCGACATGGTGTTTTTCAGTTGGGTTTTCTTCTTTTTCATCATCAAACTTAACTACGACAAAAAAACAAAACAAAAACAACAACAAAAGCTAGCGCGTCATATCTCACACATCAACGTGGCACATTGAGCATCATTCCGTCCTTCACTCTTCTTCATCGAGGTGCCATGGACCGAACACTCGCTGCAACATCACAATTACTCATGAGTGGCCGTCACTGCAGCTACATACAGCTAAAGACTCCGGATACGACTGAGGCTCTAAGCAAAATTAAATGTGCACCAATCCTCCCTCTATATACTGTCTGTCTGTCTTGCTTCTTTTCTCCACCATCTATCCCTCGTTCTTTTAATAGCTGACAATGACTTGCGCTGAACAGCATCAGACCTGCCCCCCATTTACATGCAAATGACTTTGTTAACACTTAATAGATAAGCAGATCATCACACTACATTCGAGGTTCAGTTTTGCTGGTTTCCTCCTCATTGACTGTGCTGTTTTTCACGGTTGGATGCAACTTGATGATTGTAATTTATGTAGAGCTGTGCTCTTTCTTTTCCTCTGTGCGCGTGGCGAAATTTAGACATCACTGTGTTGCGTAGATGGTGATTGATTTCCAATGGAGAAAAAAAAAATACTCTAGGGCTTTGTTCAGACAGGCAGCAAATATCTGATTTTTTAGGCATATCCCATTCAAATTCAATTACAGTTTTGAAGGCTGAACATCACATCAATGTGATTTGAAATTTCAAGATCCAAATCAATGTTCAGTACATTTCTCCTCACATAGCAAACCATGTGACTGTAAATGAGTGCACGAGTCAGCAGTATATGCATGGATGCATAAAAATGCCTCTTGCGAGTCTAGCACCACCACATGATAGACACGAGCAGAGGAAATATTCCCAGTTTTCCATCCTCTCGTTCCACATTGACAGCTGCTCTCGGTTGTCTGGCGTCGCACTGGATTTCCACAACACAGTCTGAACAAACACCAGATTTCATCACTTACAAAATGGCAGACTCTCAATCCCAAAATTGCGAATTGGATTGGCGTGCAGTGTGAACAAAGCCTTCTTCGCTAATACAGAGGTCCAAGATTTTAAAAAACAAAACAAACAAAAAAAGGCATAAACCACCTCTGTTGATTGTTTTATTATTTGTTTTCGGAGAAGACCAAAAGCTCTTAATTCTAATGGTTTAGATACCAGATGGCATTAGTGAATGTCAGCGTCCCAGTGGGATCTTGGCATTGGCGAGAAATAGAGAGAGGCATGTGACAGACATAGTGATGTTTGCAGAGCACCGAACAACAGGACATGGCCGACCAAGCAGACCCGACCTCATGTTAAAATATTGCAGTATCTTGGCACTTTCACATGCCGATGATCAAACACGATCAAAAATTAATTGTGTTGATTCGCTTGTACTATTTGGGCTTGTCATTAATCGATATGCTTGTGGTTGTCGGCCTGATTCCTCCACCCTGCACTGACTCTGCATCACTTTGCCGTGTGCTTGATCAATACTAGACTAGAACATCGGTAAACAGAACAAAATGGCTGACAGCCCGGGATGCAAGATCTCACGACTGCGTAAATCAGCCTGCGAAGCTCCGTTATGACTCTGACAAGAGGCAGATGAAGAAGGACAGAGGTGAAGAGAGAGACGCTGAGGGGGCGATTCCTTTGTTCAGAAACCTTGAGGAATGAGGGCGGCTCGTTTAGTTGCCTGATTGATGCTCTCCGAGAGACGCAGCTCCACGCCTTGATGTTTATTGACTTCTCCTTCAAATGTCAGCGTGAATCTGGAACAGCTCGACTGCATCTTGTGAGCGGTGAGATGCAGAAGAAGCTCTGTTTGTTTTAGATCCCACCCTAACCATGGTGCTCTCCACACGGTGTGTTTGTGTAATACAAATGTAGTCGAGGAGGCGATATTATATAAGGCCTGTTAGATGAGGAATTCACACAAAAAATGTTCATTCTCTCAGAAACGTTTTTTAACCGTAGTGCAGTTTCAAGTGTGTATGGCTCTCTTTAGTCATTGAAATTGGAAAAGTGTGTAGTGGCTGCTCTTTCTCCATTAAATTGTCATTCTTAATTGTCAGCTGTTCTCTGAAGGCATGAGTGTTTAATACAAGGAAAGATCTCAATTTAAAGGGGTGTTTACATGACACTGAACTAAAAACTGAAAATATTTTCTGTATTTTGTCCATTTCTGAAAATGCAAATGATTTTTTTTATCATCTAAACCAGTGTTTCTGAACCATGGTTCTGGTTGACCACCAACACAAGATTTCTTCTTTGTCTGTCAAACCCATCACAGGTCTTTCACTCCCTGCTAATGAGCTGATGATCTGGATCAGATGTGTTTGGTTAAGGGGACATGGAAAATATGTACAGTTGGTGGTCTTCCAGAAACATGGTTGAGAAACACTGATCTAAACTACGAAAATACAAATTTGCGGTTGCCGAGAGAGCTTAACGTGCTGCAAATTAAGAAAACACATGCAATTACAAAAAATGCTTGCAAATTGAGAAAAGATCTTCATCAGTTTGACAGTACACGTGCTGCAATTCATCACAACACAAACACATTTAAAAAAAAACGCACTACAACGTAAACATTTTACAAAAATGCACTGCATTTTTTCACAACACATTGGAAATGTTTCAAGGAGACCCTAAAACATAACAGACTCTTTTATTTATGTTATGGTTATTTAGGCTAATAAATACTAAAAAAAACGGAAATCAGGTTATTAAAATAAACAAACAAAAACTTACCTGTCAAAGATCACATACGTCCGATTCACACGGGGCTTTAGCGTCAACGGTTGACAGAGGGCGTGTCTGAAGATTGTCACAGCAGCATCAGTCAATGAAATTAGTTCGCAATCAACTACTGTCTAAGCTGTTGTATTTGCATGAGGGAATCTAATTGGCTGACGCATCCTTTGGCACTTAAAAAGCTGAGTTCACAAATTCTGCAGTGAGCTACGCCACTGAAGCGGCTCCGACGTATCCACAATGCAGTTTAGCAACGCTTGACTTCACCCATTCAAAGAGAATGGGAAGCGTCACAACTTTACTGAGCAATAGTCATGGCACAGCGCTGTCTGTCACGTTTTTTTTTTTTTTTTTTTACATTTCCGTTGTGTTGCGTTCTTTTTCTGTTTTGAGAAAATGCAGCGTTTTTTATTTTCGCGTTTTTTTTTTTTTTTTTATGTGTTTACGTTGAGATGATTTGAAGTACGTGTATGGGCAAACTGATGAGGATCTTTTTTCAATTTGCTGGTGTTTTTGGAAATTGCATGTGTTTTCTTCAATTGCAGTATGTTAAGCTTTCTCGGCTACCCTATAAACATTGACAGGAGCACATGCAAATTATGTGTTGAGTCTACCATCAGTAGTTTTAAAGGTGCTATATGAAATATTTATTTAGTACTATTATTATCATGCACAGGTCTTTAACAACCATGGGCCTGTATGGCATCATTTTGACAATTACATTTGTTTGTACATTGTCATAAATATACACAAAGTAAAGGACTAAGACAGTCTACAGTCTGGTGCCACATTTACTCAAAAAACAAATTTTGCTGCTTGTTCAACTTACTAAAAATGAGTTGAAAAAACACAATTCTTAAATTTTTGGGGACAACTTAATTGTTTTATGTTCAATCCCATTAAGCTTAATCTTTTTGTTTTGGAGCACCATAAAGGAATTGTGTGGACCCAACATTTCTTACAGTGTTTGATATCAGCGTGGGTGGCATGGCTCAGTGGTTACCTCTGTCGCCTTACAGCAAGAAGGTCCCAGCTGGACTAGTTGGTGTTTCTGTGTGGAGTTTGCATGTTTTCCCCATGTTGGTAAGGGGTTTACTCCGGGTGCTCCGGTTTCCCCCACATTCTAAAAGACATACGCTATTCTTGAACTGGGTAAACAAAATTGGCCGTAGTGTATGAGAGTGTGTGAATTAGTGTGCATGGGTGTTTCCCAGTAATGGGTTGCGGCTGAAAGGGCATCTGCTGCATAAAACATGTGCCGGAATACTTGGTAGTTAATTCCGCTGTGACGACCCCTGATAACTAAAGTACCAAATAAGGTTTAAAGGAAGATGAATGATGTCAGTGTTTTGACATCATTATAACTGCTGATATGATAAATCCTTGATGCTTTTAGTTTAAAATCCCTCGTTTGTGCGTTGTATACTTGGTGGGCCACCCAAAATAATCACATGACTTCAGAAGACTCTAATATGGCGGTAGGAGATTATGAGTATGATTTTATCTTAATATTTTGTCATTTTAAAACATGACAGCCTTGATCTACACTGACTGTCATTATATAGAGAAGAACAACAGTTTGCTTCTTGTCGAAAGAAAGCCATACACATTTGACTTCATTTTGAATGAACTACTACTTAAAAAAACAACACTACGAGGTTGAAAATAATCTATTTCCATGTTGATACACATAATATTTCAAGGGTAATCTTCTCCAGATATGGAAACAGCATGTGCCAAAAGCTTAATGTACTTTGTCACCATTTCCTTGTGTGTTTTCCTGTGTGTAACTGCTGCGCTCTCAGTAGAAAGACTCTCTGCTATCACTGACGGTTTCAAATGTCACATGAGAAGCTGCTAATTAATACGGCATTTGAACAAAAAAAAAAAGGCGAAAAAGACGAAGACACTGCTGTGTAAATGATAAAACCGCAAATTCTGATGCCCTGAAGGAAGATGACTGTGGAAACAACACTGTATGATGATGCGTTATTGATATTTATTTCTGTCTAGTAGTTTTTGTGTTATTAATATTAAGGTTATCCATTATAATAAATGGAGTGCTATGAAAAGTGGCAAACACTAATTTTGCTGTATGCAGTGGTGTTCATGGGAAATGAAGTTCATGCTGATCACTGGAGAACTTATATTTCATGTTCGTATCAATGCAGCGATTGTAAAAAACAAACAAAAAAAACAAACATGCGTAAACCCTGGTGTGGGTGGCTTATTGCAGATTTCTGTGTGATCGCAGATGGTGTCTCTTATCACTACTGAAGTGCATTTGGTCTTCTCCAGACTCTTGTTTGGACATTACTGAGAAGTGGTCGTGTGTTTTCCTATTTAGCGAGAGGAGATACTATACCAAGGACTTACTATAACCAGTCGAAAATATCGCGAAATTGGATGTTTTCTGGTTTAAAGCATAATTTTGTGATATAGTTTAGCGCCGTAGTTTGCAGAAACTAACTAACAGAGTTAATCGTCCAAACGAGTGAGATAATTCTGTTGTATTATATCTGCATGTGGTCTGTGATTGTTAGCTAGCTAACTTTTCTTTTTCCTCTTCGTTTTTGGGTTTCGTTTTTTTTTTTCAAAAATGCAAGAAAGTAACGAAAAAGAGCAGAAGCCGCTTCTTTGTACTTTTGGGTTCGTTCCGTTTGTCCTGGTTTTTCTTTATTAATGTCCTTAAATGTCAAATTGTGTTCTATGAATGTGTTTTAATTTATTTGTAGTTTGCCAAAATGAAGATTTTGAAGCATGTTGCAGGCATTGTCACTGATGATAAAAAGAGAAAGAAAATAAATGGAAAAAAAATATTAATATATGTACCTGAATTGAAAGGAGTCTGGTATATGTAGTGATCTCAGGCTTTCACGGGGTGAAAGGTAAAAACTACAAGACAATGTGTTTTCTGCACTGCGTGAACATCATGCCAGGATGTGGTCAGAGCAAAACCAAACAGGAATGTGCAATAAAGGCTGTAGGCTGATTCCACCCTGGAAGCACTTGGTGTTTGTCTTCTTTGCTTTCCAGGATCTCTGCTTCGGAGCATGCGGTTTTTCTGTTGCGCCCAGTGCGTTTGAGGATATCGAATCACCCGTGACGGTGAATGATAACACCGGCTTCTCTCCAGAAAGCCACTCGTCCACATTTCCCCTCATTAAGACCATATGCACATTTACAGAATTCATCGTGCTTGTCACGGTAATTAAGTTACAATACAACAACTGTGTTCATTTATATCTTTCATTTAAAAGCCCCTCCCTCCTCTCATTGCTATGCAACAGGAATAATGATCTGCTACTGGGTGCTGAGTGTGATCTGTTTACCAAGTAAACAACTCTTGCTGATATTGTGGGTTTCAGCACAGTTAAAGCACAGTAATGATCAGTCAGAAAGCAGGGCTATTCAGAATTATTTCCTTATATAAAATTAATTCTACATTAAAAATATTGCTTATATTTATATAGTTATATTTATTAAATATTATGAATATGTTCTAGAATTTTATTTATAATTAAATGTTGCAAGTAATAATTATTTTGCAGTTTAGAATCAAGATAATTATAATAGGAATAGAATAATTATTAAAATCTGTCTGTAATATACTTAATCATAAGTACACTCAAAAGATTATATTTGCTGCTTGTTCAAACTACTAATTTAAAATAAGCTGAATCAACACAATTCTTGAGGTTTTTTTTTAGGACTGTGTTGTTTTCTGTCCAATCCACTTAAAATTGTATAAACAATTAGGTTACTTAATGAATTTGTGTTGGGACAGCATTAAGAAATTGTGTGGAACCCAATTTTTTACATCCATTTATTGATATTTCTTCGGCTTAGTCTCTTATTTATGAGGGGTTGCCACAGCAGAACGAACCACCAACTATTGCGGCGTATGTTTTACTCAGCGGATGCGCTTCCATTTTTACAGTGTGTAACAGGGTTCTTACGCTTCTTGAAAGAACTTAAAAGTGCTTGAGTTTCAGACATATGAATTAAAGGCCTGAAAGTACTTAAAAACAAATATGTCCTTCAAAGTGCTTGGATACAAAGTTTATGGTGGTATTTCAACAATTGTTCTGTAAAACTTTCAAAGCCTAAACGAAAAAAACAAAACAATTCTTAATTCAAAAATCTTACATTTCAATCTTGTACATCAACTATGGCAAATAGTATTCATCAATACTTTATAAACTGCATCAGGGTTCAACGATAAGGATTTTTTCCACTGGTCCGATCGGGCCTATGGTTCAGTTTTTTACTTGCCCTGCCAAAATTGTCACTGGTCCCACCAAAACTTTTTTTAATTTAATAGCTATTTTTTAGCCACATATAAATAATGTGTCAAAAATAATGTTTATAATTATTAAAGTGTTAAAAATAATTTAAATAATGTTTTTCAAATATATGTATAATGAGCAAAATCATTCATTCATTTATTTTCTTGTCGGCTTATCCCTTTATTAACCCATCTCTGGGAAACATCCACACACTTATTCACACACACACTCATACACAATTTAGCCTACCCAATTCACCTGTACAGCATGTCTTTGGACTGTGGGGAAACCAGAGCACCCGGAGGAAACCCACGCGAATGCAGGGAGAACATGCAAACTCCACACAGAAACCCCAACTGAGCCGAGTCAAGGTTCGAATCAGCGACCTTCATGCTGTGAGGCGACAGCACTACCTACTGCGTCGCCCCATGAGCAAAATCATGTGTTACAAAACAAAAAGAGCAGTATGGAAAATGTGAAGGTATTTTATTTCAGTTCAAAATTATTTAACAAACGGTGGCCCCAATCGGGCCAGTAATGATCCCGTCTACTGTCCCAAGCGTCTGTCACACTGGACCCGGGCCATCGGGCAGTCCTTATTCTTGAGCCCTGTGCATTTGAATATTGCCAGTATAGAATTTAACTAATTGTATTAAAGTTCTTTAAACATTTTTACTTTACCACAGTTGTTTAAAATTGTTAACATTTTTAAAAATAACATTCAAACCATCATCATTATGACATTTTAATGTAATCATCAAGTGTGGGTGAAATGTTAAGTACATGAAGGACTTTGATGGTGCTACATGCAGAGGGTGTGACTAACAAAGGTGCTCGATTTTAAAAAAAAAGTGATTTACAAAGTCCTTGAATTTGGTTTCTATGAAAGTGTGGGAAGCCTGGTGTAAAATGATATATAATAAAAATATAACATTTCAGTTCAAAATGTGTTTGTATCTGTGTACGATGATACTCAACAAACCTATTTACCAATCAGAAACAACACTCAATTTTATGCTAATTATAAATTGAACTGTGTGTGTGTGTGTGAGAGACAAATCAGGTCACAAATGTGTTTAATGACATAGGTATTACACAAGTAATAGAAAGAGTCAGTATAGGGATGCTCCGATCGATTGGCCAGAGATCAGTATCGGCCGATAATCACATTTCATGACTGTCGGTATTGCCAGTATGGCCGATCTCATGATCTGATCAAAATTGTTTGTTTATGAGTTTACAAGCAAAGGACTGAATAGAACTGATATCTTTTTGCAAATAAGCACTGAAAGTTCTGTGTTTTCAACAATATTGCAATGTAGTGATAATTGGATTTATCAAATATTAAAATCAATATTTAGGTATTGATATTAATAATGATATTTTAGCCTCACACAGGGGCACCAAATAATGTAGTGATAATTGGATTTATCAAATATTAAATCAATATTTAGGTATTGATATCAATAATGATATTTTAACCTCATGTAGGGGCACCAATTAATGTAGAAATAACAGATAGATAACTCCTTTTAAACGGGGCACGAGACAGCTTTCCACTGTCAAAATAACTAACAATGAATATTGTTAATTAAATTATACATATGTGGAGTTTATTATCTGGCCAAATCTGAAGGATAATGAGATCGTTTGACTTGTAGAGTCTTTTTCTGTATTATCAACAAAAGGAAGACACAATTGTAATAAATGTGTATTTATTAACAAAATAGTAATCAAGGGTAACTACAATTACTAAATGTACAATAAATGAAGTGCATAGGCGAGTGATGAAGGTGATTAAGGTAAGGTAAGGTAAACCTTATTCTACAATAACAAAGAACTGAGGAAGTTTTTGTTATTAGTGACTATCAGTTATAAACATCTAATTCATTAGAATATTTTATACTGTAACACACTATGCCAAGGTCTAATTTAGAGGGTTGGAAAGTGGAATATTTACGTTTCTGCCCTTGATGCAGTGGATGGAAGAAGCTGGATCTTCCTGCAGATGCTTGAAGCATGAAATGAGCAGACTTGGCTCTCCTGAGCTTTGAGTGAAAGAAATCTGTAGTTTCTGGAACACGCAGACTGGAGATTTCTGGAAGTGGTGATTCGATGTCGGGAACACGCCGACATCTTTATCCTTGAGCGTAGAAATCTGTATCTTCTGGAACACGCAGAAATTGGAGATTTTTGCAGGTGGTGGTCTGATGTCAGGGACACGCCGAGGTCTTTATCCTTGTGTTTAGAAATCTGTATATTCTGGAACACGCAGAAATCGAAGATTTCTGGAGGTGGTGGTTCGATGTCGGGGACACGCCGACGTCTTTCTGAAGGTAGAGTTCCTGGAAATCTGGGACAAACAGATTTCTGGAGGTGGTGGTCTTGAAGCTATGGTTTCAGACGCCTTGGAAAAAGCACTGTAAATCCAATTACCAAATCCTTGCTGGAACATGCAGCAAAAGTTCTGATGTCTAGGACAGAACCCCGCAAACCACCATGAACCACACTTTGCCCACACTTGACCACACACACACTCTTGTGCACCACCCTTCTTTGTTTAAGAAAATGTCTTTAATACTTTCTCTGGAAGGCGGGATTGAAGGATGTCACCTTTCAAATCCAGCATTGTGATTGGATGATCCTGTGAGTTGGTCACTGGGAGGTGTCATCCATAATGTGGCCTGCATTTGCATAGTCATAGTCCACTAGTTAACTATTATAATATTTAAGAGTCTTAAATATTTTCCTATGCATAATTCACTTTCCAAACCACATCTAATTAACCCAAGGCATTATTTGCAATAGAGTCTAAACATCACTATGTAATGTTGATCTTTACTCAACCATTCATATTTAAACCTTAATAAGCAAAGTTTCATACAGTGAAGTATTTCAAGCAGTGCATATTAAATATATACATGATCATTTGAATATACAGGTATATGAAGTGAAATTTTCTATTTGTGTCTCTTTTGTGAAATGCAAGTTTACTGATCCATGTGTCTCTCTGTGTTTGAGACGATGTCAAAAGTGGATTGGATCGAGAAGCAAGTTCTGGGCTATTAACACCTTTGTCTTTCAGATAAACAAAAGACAGATGGTCACTGTCTTAATTGCCACTTTCTGATGAGCTTAAGAAAAGGGTCAGAGTTTAGTGTTAACTCTGCAGCATTTGTTCATATTGGAAATTAATTTCTACAAGTTAATTTCCACAAGTTCCTGGCTTTACCGCTGATCACTACAGCAAGTTCATTAAAACCTGGCTGGAAATATTAGAGAAATAAAAATGTACTGTATACATATATTTTTAACTTGAATATTGAATAATTTAACGTATCACATTACTTATTAATAACAGTATAATAAACAGTAGTTTATGGACTTATTTCCTTTAAGTAAAATAAAATAAAGGATTAATAGGTGTGCATTTTAACTTCTTTTCAATTAAGCGCTTTAAACTTTGTTGAAACATGTTGAATTCCTCTTCCATCATTTGCAGTGTTCCCAAATTGCTTTGTTAGTTTTTTATCTTACAAATTTTTTGTATCTGCTTTATCTATTAATTTCTGTAAAGCTGTTCACCATTACATGTTCACACTAAATGGTTATGGTAACAAAATACCTTACGATAACGGTTCAAAAACTAGTACACCCAAATATATGTTACAGAAAAATATTAAATACAAATTTTAAAAAGAGGAAAAATTCATAGA